AGATTCTCAGTGCTGTGCTTTAACCCACTGCGCCACCAGGGAGGGCCAGCTTTAAAACATTTTTTAAATTGAACAATTTCTTATTGCATCCAAGTATGTCATTATAGTCCAAGCCATACAATTTCTCCCACAGTATTTATATAATTTTTTAAATGTATGGATACAAGAACTGGGGTGTAGGCCAGAGGTGCAGGGGTGAGAGGATTCACCGGAGACAGAGAGAGAAGAACAGGCAGATCTCCTGAAACACAGCTGAGGGGAGCAGCGGGCCAGCTAGGAGAGGTCTGCCGTGCCATGTGGTCTCCTCAGGGGCAGGCGGGAATTGAACTCATGTGGAAGTGGCTTTAGCTTCTTAGTGCTGTGCTTTAACCCGCTGCGCCACCAGGGAGGACCCATCGCCAGATATTTTTAAAGCAGCTGTTGAACTTTCTTCCAATAGTACCAAGTGCAAAAATGCAAATTCTAAATCACCATTCCCTTTTTATTTTTCCCTCTGAAGGAAGCCCTGCCACCCCACCTGTTCCCTGACCTCTCTAACTCTTGCTATGTCTCTCCTTTGTTACCAGAGACCACAGTGTTGCCTTCTGCAGCAACACAAGAAGTGACAAAAGGCATCAACAACAAAACTGACTACAAAACCCAAGTTTTCCCCTGTTTCTACATTAGGAATAACTAGTTGACCAAACAGAAAATTTTATGAAGTTCCTATTCTTTTTATGGTTGTTATGTTTCCTCTAATATCTTAAGACTAACTAAACAGATAAGAAAGGTTAAAAAAAATGTCAAGTGCCCACTTAAGGTATAGTGAACTTCTAAGTAGTAGATTTAGCACTCAAACCCCGTGAGGTGGACTAATGGGAAAATTGTCAAGGGTTTTGTTTTGGTTTTGTCTTTCATCTATTTCATTCTGTGAGAGAGAATAAAGTCCCTTGAATAGATTACTTTTTGGTTTGAAAACAGTGACTTGGAATTCATGAAAAGATAATCCTTAAAAGTGGGCTTCTTATTACTCTTTTCCTCCCACCTTTTAGATATATTTATACAAAACTAGATGGGCATCTTAGTGAGATTGCCATAACCTTTAACAACAACAACAAAATACCATCTTTTACCTTGAAAACATGTCACACTTCATTTGATCTCATCTAACTCCCATACGTTTCAGCACCTTCCTCCTTCCTTTTCCTTGATATATATAGTATTTCTGGAGATTGTCATAGCTAGACAGCTCAAAGTCATTTTTGAACAATGTATGGCAAGGTACAGAGAGATCTATAATCAGTTGCTCATGAAAAAAAAGGCAACTTGTATGGTAGTCAGAACATGGGCCCTGAAGCACTTCCTCACTAACTATGTATCCTCGACCAAGTTAACCTAAAGCAGGGTTTCCTTGTCTATCCAATGGGAATAACACTGATATCATAGATGCTTTGAGGATTAAATGAGATGGTATATATGTAACTTAATTCCTGTGTTACACATAAGGTCTTTGGTGCAAATCTTTTCTATGATAAATATGAAACACAAAGATGAGGACTCATCCATTCAGATACCCTGTGCAGAAGGGGTAACCACGCAATCAGTCATTAACATATGCCAGACATGAGGACTATGAATGACAAGAAAAGCATGCCCCTGTTTATAGGAAAGAAAGGAAAAGAAAAATTAGAAAACATCATGCTAAAGTCTTCCTGACCCATAAACCACTTCTTTGTTATTGTTAAGGATTCGTAACATACACCATCCCAACATTTTAGTTTTATGCTGTTGATAGCTTTAGCTCTTGCTTTCAAACTTGAAATCTCAGAAACATCAGCCATACCCAGGTGATCAAATTTGAGATACCTCATACCCATTAGTTGAAAATGCTGACCTGGCCATTTGTCTGTATGATAGGCCAATTTTCATAACAAGTAAATCTACCCCACTTATCTAAACATCTGATTGGATCCACAGTTTAAAAAGATAAGGTTTTACTGTGTGTATTGTTGATAACCAGTTATAATTTTAGTCCTATTATATTTCCAT